TGCAACATCTTCTCTCTCCACTATTCTCCCCTCCATCCTTCAATACGTTCATTCTTATTCTTTTACTCATTCAGTCCTGCCTCTCCTTTTTCCACCCTTTTCCCGTTTTTTCCCATCTTAATCCAACATTCCATCCCTATTTTCAGGAATTATTTCATGCATGAACCTCCTTCTTTCCCTCCCTTCACCTATTACTCACATCCTTCTCTCCCTCCTTTCATTTCAATTACTCACTTCATCCCTACATCCCTCTCTAATGGAGCCTGTTCCCTCAGTCATTCTCTCTTCCCCCCCCCATCTCTCACCTCCTTGACCCTTCATTAGCCAAACAAGGAAGAGTACAGTACATACACACACACCTACGCACACACAAACATAACCTGGGCAAAGTCTACAGTGTAGGCTAGCATGTGTGTGTGCAGGTCACAGGTATGAGGAGACAAACCTCTCTTAGTCCTGTCTGCTTGCCTACCATGGAGACAGGGAGGGATATGAAAGTACGCATTGAGTAGAAGGTCATACAGTAGCATGGGGAAAACACACACACACACACACACACACCGCACACACACACAGAGCTCCTCTAAACATCTTTCCCTCCTGCTCACACTCTCTCTGTGTCTCGGTCGCCCTGTCTGAGACACACACACACACACTCTCTTGGCAAACAGACATGTATTTGGACAGTGTCTGCTGCTTCTGTGCTCTTCACTCAGCAAACAGCAGCATTCCTCTGCTCTCTCACACACACAGTGAACATTCCCATCCCCGGCCCCCAGGTCTGGACCCAACAGGCCCAGCTCCCCCACTCCCAAAAATACAAGACACTCTTTGTCCTGCTTCCCTTCACACACAGACACACACACACACACACACACACACACACACACACTGCTGTAAGTCATAGTATTAGGCCGACTGCCATTTAGAAAAGCTCGGGATAACCAGGCAGTTATACGTATGTGTGTATATGAGTGGTTGTAATGGTTTGTGTGTGTGTGTGTGTGTGTGTGTGTGTATGCACTTGCACATGTAAGTTAATGCGGACACTCTCTGGTCCTGCCTCCAGCTTTGCCCTTTAAGCACCACAAATAGAGTCACGACTTCCTCTGCCCAATCCAAGCGGAATTCCAGACAACACAGCTAACCAGCTCGACTCCATTCTGCTCTCCCCCTTCTCATCTTCCATCTGTTGCCTCTTCCGTTTCCGACTGCGGTAGAGGTCACGTCAGTTATGAGGTCATAGCCTGCATGTGGGATGACATCACTGTAGTACCTACTCCACTGAGGGGCATTAGTTTGTGAAATCTCAACCTTTGAGAGGCATCCTGGGAGTTTTGGGCTAAATAAGGAATAGTTCATTTTCACAATACTATAAATATTATTCAATTATATTCAATCTAGAATTGCATGATGACTTTGCATTATTTTTATCTAATTTAATTTTAACATTCAGTCCATCTCATTTCCTCCTGCAACAAGGGTCACTGAAATAAATCTGAGGATTGTGGTCAGATGTGCGTTTATTTGGGGGACAGTGACGTGCACATATTTGTTTGAGACCACAGGAATCATAAAACATTGCATTCTGTATTGCATGTAATGAACAAGCTCCAAGCAAACAACAGCCAGGTGGTGAATGGGAAAACATTTGTCATGCACAAGCTGAAACCAGAAAACAATAAATCCCCATATGAAGACGTGTGCAAAATACAAAAATTAAAAAAAGCGGAACTGTACGGCAACAATAAACCAAAACATTAAAGGCAAAGAAATGCATGTAATCAGATACAAACGAGTCTTATACACAATAAACATACACACATGTGCATGGTAAACATCCTGTCTGATGCTTTGCCATGCACACAAACACATGGAGGCAATATCACATGCTTACTTACTACACTCACTACTTCCGAAAAAAATAAACCAATATTGTGACTTTGTCCAGCTGCCCATACATACACCACACATACACAGGCAGCGGAGATGATGTAACATTTCATCAGAAGTTTCCCATGGTACAGCTGTCAAAGACAGCTGTTGCTGGGCCCCCTGAAAGCACAACACACACTCTCAAACAGAGAAAGAGTTGTGGTCTCACACACACCCATTTACCTAAGACCACAATAATGCACTAACTTGCGTTATGTACACTGCACATACACATTTATCGATCAATGGTGCTGACAGGCAGGGTGGTAATTTACGATCATGTGTGTGGAGAGTATCAGTTTGTGTTTTGTCTATGAACCTCAAGTGTATCAGCATCTTAAAAAAAAAAAGTGAGTCTTTCCTCTTCATTTCAGCCTTGTACATGTGGCTGCCACATTGACGGGAAACACAAACCCTCTTGGGAAACAATGTGTGTACGTATGTGTACGGCAACAGACCAAAGGAACCAGTTTGTGAGTTGAACTACATACAAAACAACTAGACACAGATGATTTTCCCCCCATAACAGATAAAAACAAAACACAGCATTAACTAAATAACTTTTTTAAAATGTTATGCTATGTTACAAGTACAACACACACACCCCAACAAACACACTAATTGTATACCCTATCGGAGCTCCATGTAGGCAAGTGTCCAATCTAGAGGTGTTTTTGTATTTCTCTATGTACATGTTTGTGTGTGTGTGTGTGTGTGTGTGTGTGTGTGTGTGTGGGTGTGTGTGTGCGCACCTGTGCATGCGTGTGTCTAGGTCAGCTGTGACGTGGCGGTGCCTGGAAGTTATGTAAGCATCAGCAGGGTAATGTTATCTGTCCTCCAAAAGCAAAACACTCCCACAACAGCTTCCTCTACTGCCAATACACACACAGACACACAAGCACACCACCCCCACCCCACACCCACACCGTATGGAGCATGGCCTATTGTCATATCTAAGATACAAAAATGAAACAAATCCCCACAGACCTTAAAGTCAACTGATATAGCTATTAGATGCACTGGGAGAGAAAAAGAATGTGAAGCATGATGGGAACTGTGGTGAAAAGGAGAGAAAGGATTAAGAAAAGAGGTAGAAGGGGGAAAATGGCATGTTGTAGCAGGAAGTGTGGGAGACAACATTAAAATAGCACAGTGTTCTCTATGTCCCGGCTTGGTGTCAAACATGTGATGCTACATACACAGTGACACACACACACACACACACTAGAAAACCCTTCGGTCCCTCTCCAGTGATTCAAGTCCAGCGGACAGCTTTACTTTAGGCAGGGTAAATTTCAGTGACAGAGGAGAAAGACAGGACTTCCTAGGCTGCCCTGCCCCCAGTAATGACACAGACGTCAGCACATGAATAAATGCATACATGCACAAAAATTCACACTGATATGGTGGATATGCATTTAACAAACATCTCCTAATAAAGAAACACATATGCACGCCTCTGATCCTGGCTCTGTGTAACAGTGTGTAATCAGAGCAGGTTACTGATTTGTATTGGTATGCAAATAATAAAATAGAAAGTTGATATGTTTGAACATGGATCATACTGTGCGCACATAACGTGCACATGTGCGTATACAGGTATGCATAAGAACATTCCCCAGGACAAGTGAGCCCATGAACTGTTAGCCAAGCTCAAAGTTATGTCATAAGAGAAGAAGAAGAAAGTGTTATCAGATCTACCAGATCAAAGGTCAAAGTGTTTGTCATATGCACAGTTAGGAAACGTGTTTCCCTGTACAATGAAATTCTTACTTTGCCGTCCACATGATTGACACAAAATAGAAATGAAATATAAAGTAGATGAATAAGTAACACAAAATCTAAAGCACTTTAAAGCAGCAAATGCAGAAATATTATAAAAATATATAAGAATATAATAAGAGAATGTATGCTGCATGGGAGCAGCATGTGCAGCGGTCAACAGTCATTGTGCAATTATCCATGTGCAAACTGAGAATGTAAACAGTACAACACGTATTTCCTGGTAATAAACTCCTCAGATGTTTAGGAGTCTGATGGCAGAGGGAAAGAAAGAGTTTTTCAGTCTAGAGGTCCTACATTTCACACTTCTGAACCTCCGGCCAGAGGG